CTACATCATTACGTATAATCCCTAGTGTGACAATCACTAAAAACTTACCAGCTGATCTATAGTGGTCCTTGAGTGACCTTTTGAGATACTTGGCTACAATACACAGAACACTCCATAGAGAGGAAGAGACTAAGATCAAAGCAGACTAGAGAGAAGTTATCTAGCTATTGAAATTACAGAAAGGTGTGATGAAGAAAGAATTACACAAAAGAGGAAAGAAGTACAACAAGCTTTATATACCTGGGCCCTTAGAAACTGTCATGGTGCATTTGTTTTATTCCAAAAGCACCCTGAGATAACTTTCTCCAGTGTGGGTAAAGTAGCCCTATGCATCCTGGAGAGCACCTGAAGTTACACAGAGGACTCCCACCTGAAGCGGGCGAGCCTTGGGTGCAGGCAGAGCAACAGGTGGGTGCTTTTGTCAGCTCCGGGGACCTCCGAGAGCCAGCTGGGTCCCGCGGACAATGCGCTTGTAGTTGGCAGCATGCCACGACTTCCAGAGGAGCTCTTCCTCCAGCTGAGTGAAAGCTGCCTCCCGTCTGCTGAGTCCATTATATGGTCAGGTCATTTTGTCACAATCTGACTGAGGCAGACTGCATGTATTGTGAAGAAGGACTCAAAAGCAGACCAAAACAGAATGTGCAACGTGATGTGGAATAACAAATATAAAGGCTCAAAATAAACTAAAACTCAAAACGCTGGGTCAAAAGATCCTACTGACACTACTCTTCAGTTGTTAAGATTTAAGATGAGATGTATTCTCTGCGAAAGTGTCCCCATTCATTTTAAAATAATTTTTCTATTGAATTTTTCTGAAGTTAGGCACTTTATTTGAAGGCCACAATTTTCACATTTTATTTTCTGTTATTTTTAAATGGAGCCTTACTTTTAATGAGAATGCTGTGGAGGGTGAATGCAACATAGGTCCCAGTGGTAATCAGAGCACTCGGGGCAGCGATTCCTAAACTGAGCAAAAGGGTACAGCTGAGCCCAGCAACGACATCTGAGGTCTACATCTAGAAGTGGGCAGTCCTTGGAACATCAAAGATCCTGCAAAGGACCCTCAAGCCTGCAGGCATCTGGCAGAGGACCTGAGCTTGAAGGGTCAAGACTGCCCACAGGGCGAGTTGGAAACTGATCATGTTGAACATTTCATAACCTACAAAAAGCCTTTAAATGAAGTTCTCAGGGTGTTCTTTTGTCACGTCGGCTATGACAGACGTGTGGAGTGGAGAGAGCGTGGACCCAAATGCAGACACTGACAACAAACTTAAACTGAAAACATGCCTTTAACTGGGGCAGAGCCAATAAAAACTACAGGAATGCAATGACTAAACTAACATGACCTAAACAGAGAGGAAACTAGAAACAAGTAAAACGAAACTAAATAACTGAAACTCAAACTATGGACCATGGGACCCTTAGACCTGCAGAGAGTGATACACAGACAACCCACCAGCAAACAGCAGAAGATAAAGGGCGTAAATACACAGAGGGATAATGAGGGAATTAGACACAGGAGGAGAGCACAGCTGGGAGTAATCACACATAACGAGACAGGGAGGAAGTAAAACTGAAAACACTAGCATAGGACATGAGACCGTCAAAGTAAGAGGAAACACGAGAGAGGCACAGAAATACGGATTTGACAGTGAAACAAGGAGAAGCACAGACATGAAAACATAACTTGACTAGATGTGACACAAGGAAGACAGGAGTGGCACAGAGACAGAAACCTAAACATTACAAACTATAAATAACACAAGCAGGAAACAAGAGCGACAATCAAAACCACAAAAAACAACAAAACCAAGAACTAAGGAAAGAGGAAAGAATAAAAATATATTAAAGCAGTAAACGTAGGTTACTTTTATGTGATGAAATTTCTTAATCTATCCTGCCTGAACGAAGACTTCACTGTAAACATTTCCATCTGTTAAGTTGTAAATTAATGTGACTGGGGGAAAACTCAACATGCAGTAAAACTGTCTCTACTACTCATTCTAAAAACATATAATCTGGAAATAGTCTGACATTTAGCCTTTACCCAGTAGAGAAAAAAATAATTGTTAATTATTTGCAATTTACTGTAATTTCTTTTTTTTGTTGCCATAACTAAAGGCATTTGATGTTTTTGTTATTTGAGATGAAACTTGTTTGGCCTGTGTGAGTGAACACATTGCATGTGAGAACTTAAGAGTTGGCAACTCTTTTGTGGTTACATTCTTTTAAAGGAATTCTGTTCTCTGTTGCAGGAGTGGAAGTACCATTGCCGAATATCAAGTCAGTGGTCCCTCTTCTAATACAACAGACATTCAGGCACTAAAGTTAAACATATCCAACAACCTGGCAAAATTATACCCTGTAATATTTGAGGGTAAGGTGGTTTTTTTACATTTATGCTTTCAAATGTTGTGAATATCTGTTGGTCCAGATAGTTGTTTAATAATTGTGCGACATTTTTGTCCTTAAAGCCTCGCGTCCCCTGACATTTTCGCCAAATGATGGATTTTATGAGCAAACAGTGACTGTAACATGTGGCCCTCCACCAGTGGATCTCAATTTTGGCACTGTCTCAGCAGCAGAGTGGAGACGTAATATGGTGCTCATATCTGAAGATGGAGAACACAGAATTAATCCAAGTGGGGATGGAAAATCAACCTTAACTGTGTTAAGGTTTATTAGCGCTGACGATGGTAAGAAATGGATTGATACATTTAATAGGAATACATTTTTTTCAATTAATTGTATTGTAATATTTTCTTTTAAAAATGTAACAATATTTTAATTTTAATAAAATTAAAATGTAACTCCTTCATCGCAGTTTTCTATTAATACCCAGGCTAGAGCAACAGCAAAATTCTGATTGGCTGGGTAAAATTCATCTTACAGTGTAACACAATCATTGTCAGTGCATCAGTCAGTCTGACCTGCTTATAAAAGACAAATTGCAGCGAAAGCTTCACCCAAAGTTTCAAATTATGTGCATTCAGCTGAAAACATGAAAAAGCCTTTCAGTTTATAAATCATAAGATAAGGAACTCACTCAGTGAAATGTCTAAAACATTTGACCACCCCAATTTACACAATGTCAAAGGAACTAGTGGCTTTGGTAAAAATGACTTAGGTGACAAAACGTCTCTTTAAACAAAACTTAAAAGGTTTTGGGTTAGTTATTGCGTTCACCATTGTCTTTCTGAATGTATGAGCTATTTTGGAAAATGCAAAATTTTCAGAGCTAAAACGTTTTAAAATATTTGGAGAATTATGGCTAAGAAATATTGTGGCAATCAGGAGGCAAAGAAATATTGTAACTGGAGGTGAGTAACTAATTTGACAGCAAACTTACAAACTGTCCTTTATTTAACGGATGAATATTTGGGAGATGTTATTGTTTTAGGCTAGTTTTGTTGAAATGTTTCAATGAGGGAGGAAAACCACGAGCATTAAAAAATGTTGTTATTGTTATTGCAAATATTTTATGCCTCTTTTGTTGGTTTAATTTGAACAATTCACTTTTAACTACAGGAGTTTATGAATGTCGGCTCATGCGCACAGACGACAAAGCATTTTTTCGTCAGAGATCTGCAACATCATTCAGTCTGAAAACAAAACCCACAATCACAGTCTCACCAATCAGACAGTATGTGAAATGTCCTGGAGGAAGTGTGGCTCTGAATTGCAGTGTGAGTGCTGGGTATCAGGTCGAGTTTCCGGAGTTTCCCATGGCAGGTAAGCCTGACACAAAAACACAAAACTCAACAAAAGGCAAATCTGTTACTGAGAAACATTTTATATCACATTTTTCACAAAAGCATATTTAATGCAATTAATATTATTTTGTAACTTTTCGGTCTTGCTATTGTTCTACTCTCTAGGATATTTTTAACTTACCTTTATTGTTGTTGTTTAGGCACTGGTACTTCGATTACCTATAATTATACTACAACTCAAGGTTGTCAAGAAGGGGAAAAGACAGTCATCTGTCAGTTAAAAAACAAGAATTTTACAAATACAATAACACTAGAGTTATCCTCAGAAAGTGAGTATTAGTTAATACATTCAGATATTCACAAGTATGAATGTGATTATGCATTAATAACTGCAAACTGAAAAATACATGTTAAAACTGCTGAGGTATTTTTTCTCTCTCTTTATAGAAACTGTCTGTATAAATGACACATTTGGCCAAGGATATGAAGGCTACAAAGCTGCAGTGCCCTGTTCACAACCAAACAAGGTGGGAGAAATAACTGCAGTGTGTAAGAAAAATGGGAATTTTGACGATGTTGAAGAGAACTGCATCCTGTTGCCAGTTCAGGAGCTGCTTGACCAGTCCCAGGTAACCTAGCTCTCTGGTTGTTTCCAACAACAGATAATGAATCATTGATTCAATTAAGGCAACAGTATGCAAGTCAAATCAAATTACTTTTATTGTCACATCACAATATACTGGTACACTGGTACAGCACATGCGAGTGAAATTCTTGTGTGCAAGCTTCAAGCAACAGTCTTGTGCAAAATGCAAGAAACAAGAGAATTACAAGAATAGGAATATGAGAATTATAAGAATGAATATATGTACAACTATAATAATGTATGCACCTCATTAAGTGTGTGTGTGTGTGTGTGTGTGTACATATGTATAAAGTATACAGAGGTCAGATGTAGTAATGGTCTGAGCCAAACCCTAATTTGGCAACTGTGATGGAGTTGGTGGGAGGTATTGTACTGTATTCAACTTATCTTAGATAACATCCTACTCCCCATACTCCCCAACACCACCTAAAATGGGTACAGCATGCAGCATCACAGAGGAAAGCACTGCCCACAACAGATTCATAGAGTATTATCCAACAGATGTTAAAAGACCTCATCTGCCTCAGAAAATAGAGAAAACTCTGGCCCTTCCTGTAAAGTGCAGTTGTGTATTTAACCCACTCCACTTTATTGTCAGTGTTCTCTCTGAGGTATTTATGTTGTGGTGGTTTCATGGTCCTCCTAAAGTCCACAGTCAATTCTTTGATCTTTCTCACTTTGTGGAAGAGACTGGCTACAGTAGAAACTCAGCCACGAAATAGAAAAATCATATGGTCACTGGACACCTCTGCACATAGTGTGCAGAGGTCATTAATCTTTGGCAGAGTAAATCACTACCTTCAAACTTTATAAGGCCTCCAGATTAGTTAAAGAACAGTTCATAAGGAGCTTCATGGAAGCAAGCTGTAAATATAACTTCTACCACCAATCTCTAGGTCTTGTCTTAGCTTTTTATTCTAATCATTAACAAATAATTATGTCCATCCATCTTCTTCCACTTATATGGGGCTGGATCGCGGGGGCAGCACCCCCCAGAGAAGTTCACCCTGCCCGGGATAGGGTTACTGGGGTCCTGCCCCGGAGCCAGGCCTAGGGAGGGTGCCCAAGGGCAAATGTCTGGTGGCTGAGTCTTAGTCCACAGAGCCTGGCCAGACACAGCCTGCAAAAGGGACATGGGCTCATCCTCCTGTAGGCCCACAGTCCTGTAGGAGGTGCCATTGGGGGTCAGCTGCAATGGGTGTCGCACGTCAAATGGGAGCAGAGGCCCTGGCAGACTGATTCCCGGGTACCAAGACTAGCAAATAATTATGTGTAATAATAATTCTATATCAGTATATTGGCTGTATGTAATGAATGAATATCTGTACCGTTGATGCACAGTGGTCCTGTGTGTGTGGTCCAGTGTTCTCCTTAAAAAGGGAATGAGAAAAATGCATCAGAAGCCTCATATGTGATTTTAAAGCAAGTGCATCACTTGTGCTTAAACCTGCAGGAAAACTAGAAGAAGGTAAAATAAGTAGAATATATAAAATTATTAAGTGGAGTTAACATGCCTCTGTTCAAATCTCACAGTTCTTGACTGCCACTACATTGCCAGTATTTTTGGAACAGCTCAAGAACGTCACTGTCAATTTTACTGAAGAAGTGATTACATCTCCTGCCAACATTAAAGCTATTGTGAGAATACTCATCAATGTCGCCAACAAATCTTCATCACTCGATATCTCAATTAGCAGAGTTTCAATGGAGGTATGTTGATTAGATTGCAGACGTTTTCACATTCTGAACAGTTAATGTTTTTAATCTAAAATCATTCTTTTCTCTTTACTATAGAATGTCTTGATAGCAGCAGGGGTTCTCACCATCAATGGAACAAAGAAAACATGGAACATTCTCAATAACAATGACACCAAAAGCATCTCAAACAACACTGATGTTAAAAGTGTTAGCTCATCATTTTTGGACTCCCTTGAAATAATAACATCTCGTCTTGTCGATGCAACTTTTGAGATTATGACAGGCTTTATTCAGTTAAACAGAACTACATTCACAGACACTTTCAATGCTGAATTTAATTCTTCAGTGACAATACAAATACCAGAGTCTAATGGAGATAACAAAACAATCACTATGATAGTATTTAACTCGTTAGATAACGTACTACCTGCAAGAGATGAGGCCAATTCATCGCTCAAGTCCATAAACGGCAGGGTTGTACTTGTTCAGTCCAGTGGCCAAATCAATAATATCTCTTTCACATATGATATTTTAAATGATACACTGGGAAACCCTGAATGTGTCTTCTGGAACTTCCGCCTCTTTGATGGTCTGGGAGGATGGGACGGCAAGGGCTGCGAGTTAGTGTTAAACATAAATGAAACAGAAACTGTCACCTGCAACTGCAACCACCTGACCTCATTCTCCATCCTCATGTCACCGAACAGTCCGAAGAAACTCTATTTGGACATTATAACCTACATTGGAGTTGGCATTTCAATGGGATCCTTGGTCATATGTCTCATCATTGAAGGCCTCATTTGGAGAAAAATAAGAAAGAATGAAACCTCTTACTTGCGTCATGTTGCCATTGTTAACATCGCCGTTTCCCTCCTGATTGCAAACATTTGGTTTATAATTGGAGCGGCCATTTCAGATGCAGAAGTTAAAAACCCCCCAGCATGCACTGCAGCTACCTTTTTTATCCATTTTTTCTACCTAGCCCTGTTCTTCTGGATGCTGGCCTCAGCTATGCTGCTGCTCTACCGTACAACTAATGTTTTTGGTGGGGGTTTGTCTAAAGCATCTATGCTGGCCATCGGATTTTTTCTAGGCTACGGAGCTCCTCTCATCATTGCAACAGTAACTATAGCTGCAACTGCACCTGACAACGGATACATTCGAGAAAATACCATATGCTGGCTCAACTGGGATAAGTCCAAAGCTCTGCTGGCATTTGTGATTCCTGCACTTTTAATAGTGGTGACAAACCTTATTATCCTGGTTGTGGTTTTGTACAAAATCATAAGGAGAAGGGTTGGAACAACTGCTGCACAAGCAGAGGAAAAGCACGTCTTAGTGGTTATTGCCAAGAGCTTGGCTGTGCTCACACCATTTTTTGGCATAACTTGGGGTTTGGGAATTGGAATTCTGGCTGATCCACCAAATGAAGGAATCCATATTGCATTTGCATTCTTCAATTCACTACAGGTACAAATTCATTTTTCCCCCTATCTGTATACCATGATAGTAGCATCTTTAATCACTAAATCCTTGATAACTCATGTTACTCTGTTTTTAAAAAAGGGCTTCTTTATTTTGGTGTTTGGAACACTGCTGGACGGTAAGGTACGTACAGCTCAATTTTAAGAACAGAAATATAAATTCTAATAATACTGCACTAAAATCCACTTCCACTTTCAGTGCCATGTCATGGTTTCTCTGTAAGCCTGTTTAAATGGCTACTCAGACTTGAGGATAGAAGTAGCCAAGTAGTAGACGGGAACATTTAATAAATAACAGTTATGTGCATATGCTCATATTCCACACAAGAACACACACAAAAAAATATGATGAACATCACCATAGAGCAAAAACAATACAAGATAGTTTGCTTATAGTGTTTGGCTTGGCAATAAGAACAAATTTATCAAATTTCTGTGACTTCTATTTTAGTGTTCTAACATTTGACATTTCATTTATCAGGTGCGGTCAGCAATGGCATCATGGTCACAACCTTCCAGAAGTAGGACAGGGGTAAGAACAAGTTTCCCTGTCATGGGCTTCATGTTCCTTTTTTCTTTCCTTTCTTGTTAATCACAGCTAATTTGCTTCTTGTTAATATTGTTTGATTTGCTTTTTGTTTTGTTTTTTTAGAGCACAAGTGCTGGAAACTCAACATCAAGTCGACTTCGATTTTTAAGGAACTGGAGACGTGGAAGACGTGGAAGAGGTAAAGAACCATCAAGGAAACCATCAACTTAATTTCTCTGTAAAAATGAAGTGAAAGCTGTGTGTTTTTAGGTGTGCTTGTACTTTGATCAGGCAGTCCAACATGGAAAATAATAATTGGATGTGTTTTGTATCAACACATACAAAATGTCATTTTAAAAAATGTTATTTATACAATTATTTAATCTGCCAACAAAACTACAGATTCCTGGTGTCGTACTGTATCTACTGTTCTATTTTTTTTTTTGATTCCCCACCCCGGATTATTTTCCTTTTTTTTTTTTTAGATGGCTACCAGACGACATCCAGTGCATCCAGTGATTTCCATTCCGCTAGCAACACATAATGTGTGCAGAAAA